TATATATTGATACAGTTTAATATTCAAGTAACTTAAGAGAGTTAGTTTTAAAAATAAATGATAAAAATTGAGTTTTATTATGCTAAGAAGGATCAAATTCTCTGTTTTACTCTTCAGCCTTTTGTGCCACCAGTAGACTATTGTCAATGAGTCATCATATGCAAAGCCGTGTAGGCTGCAGGTGTTGATAATGATCACTTATATATTATCACACTGTTCCAAAGCTGTACTTTTATACTTATTCCAGATCGAGCTATTTTTATTTTAATTGGTACTTTTAGAGATTTTGTATCTATCCTGCTGACATGGTCCAGCAGGTGAGGCAGAGAAATAATACTTTTTGTCATGGTAAAAATGAAATCAAATTGACTAACTTCTATCAATGATAATGAGCAGTTGCTGCTGCACTGCTGTTGACTCGTGTTTTTCAGAGGATGGCTGAGGGTATTGTTCTCTGGGAGGACTTGCACTTTTTATCACACAGAGAAATTTTGAAAAACGCCCACAAAATAGTATTAGGAAGAAATAAAAAACACTAACATAGTTCACGGCTTGTTGATTTTGATGTTTTCATCGCTAATAAAATTAACAGTTATTGGTCAAATCAGTAAACCAGTGGCAACATAAAAATAATGTTTTAATTTACTGGTCATTAAGGAATTTGCATATTCACTTTGCATTTCTCCCTTACCCCCAAATCACACATACATACATGTGTGTACACACACACAAACAACACATTTTAAATAATTGAGATTAGTATCATATTTTACATTAGGGCATGATACATAGATTGCAAATAATGCTTTATAAATATTTATTGATGATGTAGAGTCTTTATAAATAACTGTTTATAGCACACGTGTGCTGCACTCCATAAGGCATTTTAAAATCATTTAGCCATGCATATCAATAGTTGTGCTTTCAATTAATAGTTTCACTTTTCTGTTGAGTAAACTAGAGTAACTGCATTCCTGGTTTGTTAGTTTAGTGGAAAAATTATGTATAGTTATGCTAATATTAATGATTACATATAACATTGAATACTGAATCTAATGTTATCGATAGCAGCATATTCCTAGTATTATGGGTGAAACTTTTGTTTCCTAAATAGATGCACTGAAATCCTAACATGCAAACATGGAAGAATTTTCTGTCTTTGATTTGGGAAGGGTAGATACTCATTAATTCTGGTTTACTCTGTTAAATGTTTCCCTGTTTTTCAGTTTTTGACTTGCAATTTTGTTTATAGCCAAAATATTCTTTTTTGGCTAATTTCTGAGTTCCCAGTTGAAGTTCGTGGGGCATACATGTGATAGGCTACAAATTTAAGAATTTTCTAGTTACAGGACAAAAACCCATTTGGCAATAATCTGTTGCTTTTCAGATAATTATGTTGATGTTTATTTTGGTGTCAAGAGTTGTCGGGTTGAACAGAGTCATCTTGTTAGTGATTCATATATTTCATATGTAAATATATATAATATATAATATATTAGTGTATGGATGACACAATGCCGAGTGAAAATTAGAAAGCATAAATTAATTGCACCAAATTGGTATTCCAGTTTTACTACTCTGCTATGTAACATAGTATTTTGTAATTCAGTTACTCCTCAGAACATTTGCTTATGTGTGTTTTCCCCCGCTGTGACTGCAGAGAGTTTATTTTCTGCTTGGTGCAAGGCACAGTTGGGAGAGTTAGGAAAGCTCAGTGTGGCCTGCAGAAAGAGCACCTCGGACCTTCTGCTGGTGGCTGGCGATCCGGTGTGTCCACTTGTTGCAGCCGCCTAGAGGGTGGGGTGGGTGGGCTGGGCTCCACCTGGCCTAGGAAGCCTTGACTGCTGGTACCTTCAGGTCAAGACGAGCGCCTGGTGGTGGCCTGGCTGGGCTGGCTGAGTGGCTGCTTCCTTGTGGTTTCCGAAGCCACTGGTGACTATGCTACTGGGAGCATGGGGGGGATTCCGAGGGCCCTGGGGCCTCCAACACTGGGGCCATGAATGGGACAGTGGACTTCCCGAAGAAAAGCTGGCCCACCAGTGACCTGGGTCGCCCCTGGGGAGACGCGGGTGATGGGGCTGTCTTCCCCGGGGTACTCCGCATTTCCACAGGAGCTGTTGCTGGACGCAGAACTCTGACTGCTCCGGTAGTAGTCGTGGGTGGCCAGAAGCGAGCCGCTGGAGAGGATGGCTGTCATGCCATCTGGGGGTGCCGGAGACCTCTGCGGAGACCCCTCGTGAGAGCCTCAGCGAGCTGTCACGGTGGTGGAGACCGGGGTGCTAGGTCATGGGGGCCACTGCCGCTGTTAGACAGAGACTACGTGGGTGAGCTGCATATGTCTTTTATCCCATTAATTGATTACTGCTTTTTGTGTTTTTCAGTCCTGGGAATTGAATTCAGGACATTGAACCCTCTAGTCAAGTTCTCTACCATTGAGCTATATCCCTAGTCCCATTTGAATTTTTGCTGTTGTGTAAGGCAGGGTCTCGCTTATGATTTAGGCTGGCCTTGAACTCACTGTGTGGCCTAGGCTGGTCTCGAACTGAGGGCAGTTCTCCTGCCTCAGATTCTGGAGTGCTGGGATCACAGGCGTGAGCCACCACAATGGGCAGTTGGCTTTCCTTTTTGTATTGTATTTTTTTCTCAGGATCTTGGCTTGCCACGCAGTCGTGGTGCCACTGAGCCACATCCCTGGCCCTTCCAACTTGAATTTTTGATGAGGAAAAATATTGCAAGCTTCTTAAAGTCATTTTATGTTTTATTTGCCTTTTCAAGTGTTTTGCCTTGTTGGTATTTTCAGATTATTATTTCTTTTTGTTTCTTTAAGAGAGTCTAGGAATGGTGTTTTAAAAATTGAGGATAAGCAAGTTTTCCAATGCAACTAAAATAATACAATTTGAAATATGAATACAATTTCCTTATCATGTATGGCTATTTCTAATTACATAATTAACTTTGAATTATTTCTAATTATTTTATGCTCTTTTTCCTGAGCTACCAAGATATATTATAGCTTATTAAATTAGATTATGATTTAGGTTTCAAAACTTTACAGTGAATTTGATTTACTTTTTGAATATTACCTTATTTTTCTTCCAATCCTATAATCACAGAGTATAAAGAAATGTCCCAACTTTTATGTTCTTTACAACATAATCATTCATGCACATCAGTAAGCACCAACATCTTCTTTGGCCACTATAAATAGAAAACAGTTTATTAAAAGATATTCAATGTTAGTCTTCAGAAAGACAAAGGTTCAAAACTTATTTCCAGCAACAATGCTCACAATGAGGCAATGGTTTAAAGAAGAAACCACGCTGGTGCCACAGGCCCCGCCAAGAGGCAAAGCCCAGGAATGTGCTATTTTTGACTGCTGCAACATAGATGTGACTTCTTTTTTAGAAACTGTATTTTGCTAAGCTTTTTTATTTCAACTACACAAAATAGAACCTCTGTACAGTGCCTGGGATCATGTTGACGATGTCCAAAAGATTCTTGCTTGAATTTGTCTGAATGGTACAGCTGAGGACATATTTCTGAGCAATAATCGCAGTGCTAATAGAAAATGTAGATCCTGCTTTGTATTTTTGGATGCAAACATGTATTGTGTGAATAGCCACCTATACAGAAAAATTATTCAAAACATTATCAGCACTTTTAAATGACTGACACTAAAAGGTAACTGTAGAAAACATTGACATTATCATTATTAGTTACCCTACTTAAGCAAAGCAAATATGTGAAAATCACAAGTAACAGAAAACATTGGAGAAACATTGAAAAAGAAATTGGAGAAAGTGATAACATAAACAATAAATTCTCTTTGGACTGATTAAAACATTACTTATTAAAGAAAATAAGGCTCATATTTTTAAGTGAACTTCTGTATATAAAATAATACACTTTATCATAACTTCTTGATAATTTGAGTTCACAGGAGAAATTAGCCAGTTGTTGAGTTAAAAAATGCATGATGTTACGGTGCATGATTATCAAGATGTTGATTAAAAACAATACTAATATGGTATCAATACATGTCAACATTTTAGGCCACTTATTTCAACACAGACTTAGTCTTTAGAGGTGTATTCATATGTAATACATTTTAAGTGTTATTCAAAACTCATTCTCACATTCATAAGCAAGTACATAGTGCATAAGCACTAAGATGATCTCTAATGTTCAAATTATTATTTGAAAAATTGGAAAATACATAATAACCACTTTTGAGAATTTCTGTATATTGAGTGAAACAAAAATCTCCTGCACCAGGAGAGTTATTTATACCTGGGATATTTAAGATAGTAGATTTGAGGCAAGGCTGGAAGCAAAACTCTAGAAAACAAACAATTGTAGCTAAAACCCCAAAGGAATGGGCTATTGGCCTAATGGATCCCTTTTATGTGGCTAATTGTAGTAGTTCTGTGGGTAGAAAGCATAACACGTGAAATTGTAAGGAGAAAAACTTGAAGTACTTATGTTTCTGAAAACACATTTAATAAATTATAAGAAGACCAAAAAGGAAGTCAAGCAACACAGTAGGTAAATGTGGGTTTATTCCCCAGATAGCCCTTAAAGATGGGGAAAAGAGGAAATCGAGTGTGGACTGTGGATGAAATATTTACAAAACAAACCTCACAGGAAATAATAATTGAATATTTTATATTTTGACTTATTCAACTTTTATGATTTATTTTTGTTCTCATTGAGTTTAATTGTGCATTCCCCATGGAAACAAGCCTTGAAAACTTTGAAAAAATAAAGCTATTATGTTTACCAGGCAGGTTTTCACAGCTGTTTTAAAACTGAAATATATGTTTTGTTAAAATCTTTTTCCAAGGGCTACTGTTCAGCATTTTCAAGGTGTCTGTTGCTCCATTAAATTTTTCTTAATAGGTTGGCACAGAGTGCCTTTATGTGACATTTTTAAAGTTTTCTGCACCATTCTGATATTTTTTCTTATCTAACTTCTACTATGAGGAAACACAAATTGTGCTTAATACAGGAAATGTGTTCTGGAATAATAATAATATAAACTATTCCTTTATTCCAGTTGTTGATTAATTCATTCATCTACTAGTTCATCATTCATTCATTTGAATATCACCTACTATGTGCTGATTATGACGCTGAGCGATATAAGAAGAAACACCAAGAGAAAAAAAGACAGGAAAAGACAGAGAGGAGTTAAATGTTGCTCTTAGATCTTTCACTTCAGAGTGAAATTAACTTCTTCCTGTTTACACACCATATACTGGGATATGCTGTGTGTACAAGTTATATAATTTTTACAGAATGACTTGTGGTTGGACTTATGTTAAATCTTATTAGAAAAGGGAAATATAGCCAAAGGACAGCATGCATCAGCATTTTCCTTGCCCCTTCCATCCAAATTTCTAGGGATAGAAGTTCACTGGCTTGTACAAGGCTACTTTTTCTCTGACTGGGACAAATATAGCACACGGAATATAGCAGGGTAGGTAGGTAAAGAAATTTGTTGGTTTTTTTAAAATAAAATAGATCATATTTTAATACCATCTGTATAAATACTATAATTTTTATTTGAAACAAAGTACATGGATCAAAAAGAAATTTTTGGAGGATCCTCAGTAAACAGTTGTCTTTATTCTTTCTAGGAAATATTATTTCCATTAAGAACAGTATCTTAATAAGTCACACATGTGTAAATACCGAATAGTTTACCTGGTGTGAATAATCTGCAGCAATGCATAAGATTCTAATAAGATTACTGACATTTAGAAATGGGAAGAAAGGAGCTAAAGGTGTAGGGAAGGTGGGATGGGTAGGGGAAGAGTAAAAAGGGAAAAGAAAAAAATCTGAGAGAATGAAAAGATGAAAATAAAGTGTTTGTAGATGGGGAGGGGAGGAGGGGGTGAAGGGAGGGCAGAGGTAAGGGGAAAAAATGAGAATCAAGACTTGTCATGTAGAGGTACAAGATCCCAACAATGATTGTAACTGTACTGTATCCCTAAAATGTACCGATAAACTTAGTTAAAGCTGAAAAAAAAAAGAACAGTATCTTCCCTGTCACCAGCGCTATGCAAAGTTGCTTTAAAAATTAAATCTTCACATTTATTTTAATTCACCATTACAAAAATTAATAAAAATTATTTAAAGACAAAGTGTAATACTCAAAACTATAAAAATATAGAAGAAGAATACACAAAGGAGATGTTTTAGGTCATTGGAATGGGTGAGAATTTTTAGAAGACCTTAAAATTATAGGAAACAAAAGTGAAGATAGAAAAGGAGAATAATGTCAAATGAAAAGTTTTTATAGAGCAAAGGACGCATTCCACAGGATGAAGAAACAATCTACAGAATGGAGAAAATATTTGCAAACTATATATCTGAAAAGGGTTTGGAATCCAGACTAGGCAAATAATTCAAGAGCAAAAAATTAAATAAATCATTTTGAAAATAAGCAATAGACTTAAATAGACATTTAACAGCAGAAGGCATATAAATGGTCAACAGGCATATAAAAATGCTCAGTACCACTAATCATGAGGACAGTGCAAATCAAAACCACCGCGAGATATTACCTCACTCCAGAAACACTAAGAGTAATCAACATTGGCATGGATGTGCAGAAAGAGAACCAGTATAGTGTTTGCGGAAATTTAAATTAGTATGAATATTCCTCAAAAAATTAATATAGAACCACCGTATGATCTAGCAATTCCACTATTGGGTATATGCCCAAAAGAAATGAACTGTGTATTCTAAGGAGATTTCTGCACTCCTATAGTTATCACAACACTTTGACAATAGCCAAAAAATAGAAACGATCTAAGAACCCCCATCAACTAATGAATGAATAGAGAAAATGTGGGGCACATAAGTAACAAATACTATTTCACAATAAAATAATATCCTGTCATTTTCTGATAGCGTGGATGGGTATCTCACTCGTATGTTGGGATCTCTACAAATGGCATACAACAGAAACTTTCCATGTTCAATAGAATTAGGAGTAGAATGATGGTTTTAGAAGTTGGGGAGAGTAGAATAGAAGAAAGGATCTGGAAATATTCTTTTTTAAAAAATTGTAACAGTTACAGTTAGGAGTAAAAAGTTTTGTTGTGCTGTTGCACAATGCAGTGAGCTAGAAGAAAGGATCCTGAATGTTTTTAACACACTGAAAGTGTGTTTGAGAAAATAGATGTGATT